TCAGCTCCAATTGGATTAAAGACCTCAATGTGAAGCCTGAAACTCTGAAAGTGTTAGAAGAAAACATTGGCAATAACCTACAAGATATAGATGTAGGAAAGGATTTTCTAAACCAGATGTAAACTGCCCAGGAAACAAGGTCAAGAATCAACACATGGGAACTCATTAAACTAAAAAGCCTCTGTACATTAAAAGAAACAAACAAGGAAGTGAAGAGAAAACCCACAGCGTGGGAAAAAATCTTCACCAGTGACACGTCTGACAGAGGTTTAACATCCAGAATATATAATGAACTCAGAAAACAAAGTATCAAGAAAGGAAGTAACCCAATTAAAACATGGGCTAAGGAACTGAACAGAGAGTTCCAAAAGAAGAAATAAAAATGGCTAAGAAGCATCTTAAAAGGTATTCAACATCACTAGTAATCAGGGAAATGCAAATTAAAACCACTTTAAGATTTCATCTTACCCCAGTCAGACTGGCTAAGATCAAGAGAACAAATGATACCAAATGTTAGAGAGGATGTGGGGAAAGGGGAACGCTCATCCACTGCTGGTGGGATTGCAAGCTTGTTCAACCTCTACGGAAAACAGTGTGGAGAACTTTTAAAAAATTATAAATGAACCTACCATTTGACCCAGTTATACCACTCCTTGGCATATACCCAAAGAACTCATCCTATTGCAGAGACACTTGTACATCCATGTTGTTGCTGCTCTTTTCACAATATGTAAGAGATGGAAGTAACCTAAGTGTCCCTGAACCCGACGAGTGGATAATGAAAATGTGGTTCATTTATAAGATGGAATTTTTTTTTTTTTGGTCTTTTTGAGACAGGGTCTCCCTGTAGCCCCAGCTGTCCTGGAGCTCACTATGTATGATGGAATTTTACTGAGCAGTAAAGAAAGATGAAATAATGAAATTTGCAGGTAAATGCATGGAACTAGAAATTGTTATACTAAGTGAAGTAACAGACTCAGAAAAAAACAGATGTATGTTCTCCCTACATGTGGATCCTAGCACCGAATCCTTATAAGTGAATATGTATCCAGACACAACTACAGAAACCAGGATAATGAAGAGGAACCAGGGAAGTAAAGGAAAAGAAAGAATCTGAAATCGAAGAACAGCAGAAAACAGGTGTTAATGAGGGAGATATGGATAATAATGGGGTTATTTTAAGGGGAGCAGAGAGGGAAGGTTATACAAAGAACCTAGGGGATAAAGGGAAAGAAGCAGCTCAATAGAAGTGGGACCATAGGAGAAGGGCATTATTAAGGAAGAAATGGGAAAAAACAAGGGGTATCTTAAATGAGGAAACCATCCTGGAAGGGTTAGACAATGTGAGAGATAAATAATGCCTAGCTAGTTTTAGAAAACCAGAAGAGGGACCCAAATTAGGACAAGCAACATTTTCTTTGCAGGAATGGGGCCTGAGACTTTCTTCTACCCCTCAATACTGTCTTTACAGCAGGTCTTATTTGAGTACCAGATTCTCACACTGTATCAGACACAGCTGTCTAAAAGTACCAGACTGGTGGAACTAACCTTCTTGGATGTTTGACAGCCATATTTTGAGGCCTATACTAATTTGAACAGAGGGACACAAAGGACAGTTTTCGCTCCTTGCCATCCTAGGTTGACTAAGTTCCAGGAGACTATGAGCATCTCTCAAAATGTCCTGTAACTGTGGTAAGTCACCTGTCCTCTTGAGCAAGGAGGCTGTGGAGACCCCACCAGATGGACCTGAACCAGTGTCCTGTCTACAAAGAGGAGGGTCAACACAGAGGAAACATTTCCCCCATGCTTCCAAGCGAAGCCAGGCATGGTGGAGTAGGACCTTTGACTTATCTTCACATAGACGGAACTGGCAAAAGAAAGGAGCCAGGGCCTCCTCCCAAGCCCATGTTACCCCTGAGGAACAGGGGATCCTCAAACAACCTAAAGAGTAAAAATAAATTGTTTTATCTGGAACAACTGTAGAGTCTTAAACACCCAAAAGGAAAGTATAACCAAAGATTAATGGGGTCAATATAATTTTTAAGAATCCATATGTATACCTAAAGGCAATATAACAAAAAACGATGCCAGACAGGAGATGCCTTCCTTTGAGTTATTGGCTAGGGTGGCACAAGACACTCCCAGAAAGTAACCCAGCATAGAACTTGGAAAATGAACAGCAGACCCCAATCTTATCTAAAGGAATATTAACAACTGATTGCTGCTAGATGAGGAACAGCTGGTCTTCCTAAAACAAGGCTCTCTAGATAAGCTGACTAGATTCAGCAGACAGACAAGCACTGGAGAATGGCCGGATGTGTCGACAACACAGTGGACAGTAACAGGGATGACAGAGTATATGGGCTCCAGTGTGTGTGGGGGGAGGCTATGGGAGGGTGCCATTTGGGAAGTGGGTATATAGATGAATAAGATTGTGTGGGATTTTCTGTATGATATACACACATGCAAAAAACAATAAATTTAAAAAAAAGACATATTTGAGGAGGAAGCATAAAATCTTACTTCATGTTAAATAGTAGAAGTGATAAACATTACCAGTGAAATCTACCTGTTGACTTTATATCCATACTCATATACTAAAGATCCGAGTGCAACCGACTATGTCTAGTAATCATCAGATACATAGAGATTAAAGACACATGTGCAAACATTTAAGTGTTAGAAAGGTTAAAACCTCATTCAATTTTATGTCTTATAGGGTTTATACTGAGTACAATGTTGTATAACTGTATTAACTCAACTGTAAATCGAATAATTTACAGCCAATTTTGAAAGAGAAGCATCTTAACTCTGGAAATTGTTATTGCATATGTTACTGTAATGAAATGCTTCTTCTAATCATGTTGTTATTAAATTTTTAAAAATTTTAAAAATTAAAAAATAAAAATAGGCAGGGTGTGGTGGTGCACGCCCTTAATCCCAGCACTCAGGAGGCAGAGGCAGGCCGATCTCTGAGTTCGAGGCCAGCCTGGTCCACATAGTGACTTCCAGGACAGCTGGGGCTACAGAGAAACCCTGTCTCAAAAAGACAAAAAATATAATAATAATAATTAATTAATTAATTAAAATTAAAATTAAAAAAAGAATGAATACCACATTTAGCATTCTCATTTAGGCCATTTTTTGTTTTGTTTGTTTTGGAGTTGTGTTTTTATTTGTTTTTAGTGTTTGGTATTTTGTGTTTTTTATTTTTCTGTTTTTGTTTGTTGGTTGGTGTTTGGGTTTTTTGGTTCTTCTGTTTTGGTTTTGGTTTTTGAGACAGAGTCTTCCTGTAGTCCCAGCTGGTCTGAAACTTGTTATGTAGACCAGGCCTGCCTCTGCCTCCCAAGCTCTAAAATTAAAAGTGTGCACCACCACACCCAGCTCTTTTAGGCCATTTTTACATCCGGTATGAGTGAACTTCAAAATATAAAGCTTGTCATGTCATTTCTCCCGTCAATATCTTTCCATGATAGCCAGGCATAGTAGTCATGTTTTCCTTTTATCTCAGCACTCAAGGGGCAGAGGCAAGCAGATCTCTCTGTGTTTGAGGACAGTCTGATCTGAATAGTGAGTAGACTCCAGGCCAAGCCAGGGCTGTATAGTGGGACTCTGTCTCAAAAAAGTCTTTCCATGGTTCCACATGTCCTAAATAATACAGTATGTATTCATAAGTGCACCTTCATAATTTGGCCCTTGATTATTACTCTTACTTCTCTCTCAGCTCATACTCTTATCACTTTTTTCCAACACCATGGTATTTGGAAACTTCTCAGACTTGTCTTACTCTGCTGCTTTTGACCTGAGTGCCATCACTTCATTTGTACTCCTCATCCGATTTGGCAAATGGTGACTTATATTTGAGTAATAGTGGAAATATTAATTTCAACACATTTTAAACTGACTTTTTACTCTCTGCTAATTTCACATTGTGCAGACATCTTTCATAGTATGTACAATATTTTATTGTGCTTATTTATCCTGCTGGGATATCTTTCTCTGCCTTCATTGCAAGAAGGTGATCTCTGGGTGCTGGGACCATGGATGATTCCTCTGATATCCTCATATTACTGTAAGCCCTCTGATGGTTGTGACCAGTCTGGCTCCTTTATCTCTACCATCAGACTCTTGTTCTAAAGACTCTTCCTAGATCTGTTTCTTTTCCATCTTATCAAATAAACAGTAGTCCCCTAAGTCCTAGTTTGAGGTTCTTTTTAAATAGTATGTTTCTAGAAATTAGCATAATGTCCAATATTCAGTAAATGCTTATAAAAATAGCATTTATATTTATCTCACCCTTGCAATTGTCCACCACAAATACTACCTACTCTGCCTTTAACTTTCAGTTCGATATTTCCTCATCTCTATTTGAAATAGTTTTTAATATTATTCCATCCATGTTTTGAGTATTATTTCATCTTGCTTAATTTAGTCCTTCTCATCTCTTAAGATAATTGCCAAGGCTTGTCCTCTCCTTCAGTAATTTGATCCAGGCACTCCACAGTTCAAATTAAAGTATCCCTTGAAATCTTTCAGTATTTTATCTGTGTATGCTTTCCAGTTAGCTAAGACATGCCCATATTATCTCTGCCATGTTAGTGCATACCGATTTTCCTATACAGGAATTTATTTTCTATAACTGCTCTATATGAGTGAGTAAACTGAGTTATACTTGTACCTTTTAAACCTCCCTGCATCTAAGCCTAACCCTTACTGTATTCATTATATTACCTAGAGAGGTTATAATAAAATTAGGAAGATAACTTTTGTTTTTTGGGTTTTTTTTTTTTTTTTTTTTTTTGCATTCCTCATTTGTTTCTAAAGTCTTCCCCTGTGGTAAACTCTATAGCTCTCAAATACCCAACGGAACTTCCCAAATTCACTTGTTTGCCTGGCTCAACTTCATTATGGCCTGTTATCTAACTTTCACTTGAACTGTTATGGAATTCTACATTTAACATTTCCCTCCAATTCTTGATATTGTCTACGTGTATGATTACCCAGCAGTCCTCTTGTGGTTGACTCTGAATACATAAGCCTTCAGTCTTTTCCAGGTAGGAACGTTGATGATGGCATGTTGCAAAATCCAGCAGCTCCACAGATATTTTTTTCACTCTGGTTGTTCCCAGTTTCTTGCTACCTAAAGACATATGTAACAGAAGTTATTGAGACCTAGACCTCCAATCACTGACTTTGGTTTGGCATCACACTCCCAATTCAGTCACATGATTGTCCCAAGACATTCTTCTTTTCTCTTTCCCTCACCCCTCCTTTCCTTTCTCTTTTTCTCTGTTTAGATGGATTGTTATTTTGTACTTTCTGAATCTCCACACCTTCCTTAAACTGGTATGATGGTTAGTTTTAATTATAAGCTTGATAACAACTAGGAATACCTAACTAAAGCCCACCTTTGGATGTACCTTATGATGGCATTTAATTAACTCATGAACACTCTGAGTAAATCAACAAATTGATGATTATGGATTCTTAATAAGATGACAGTATCTAATGTAGTTAAAGGTATTATGTATGGCCTGGTTGTAGAAGTAGGTCACTGGGAGACATGTCCTTTGAAAATTTTATTATCTTTGCTCCTTCCTACACACCCCTGTCTCTCTGCTTCCTGGCCAGAAAGAAGTAAAGACCAGCCTCTACCACATGCTCCAACTGGCATGATGCTCTACACAGTTCATGGAGCCATACAACCATCGATAGAACTTTCTGAAACTATGAGTCAAAATAAATCTATCCTCTCTTAAATTGTCGCTGTCAGATCTTTTGGCACAGCAACAAGAAACGTAGTTAAAAGATACTCAGATATAAAGAGTCAGGCACTGAAAGTTGACTTGGACCTGGACAAATCCCTTTCCTTTGTTAAGTGTCAGTTTGTCCTCCAATGAATTGGAGTGACATGACTTAAGATCTCCATTATTTCCTCTAGATTCTTCTTTTCACTTCACATAGCCTTAATTTCTTTAGAAAACTAATTCTATTACTGGAATTGAAGTCACAAAATAGTGTACCTTGACTCCTTTTACTTACTTTGATATTCGTACACATCACAGCTTCTGTATTGGCACCTGGAACAACTCTTCAAGGATATATTTTGAGCCTGAGATAGTGGTATATCATCCCCATATAGAGGTTCTTCAAGAATGACCAGGCCAATGTCTCCTCTGACAGGATCATTTCCATCTTTGGGATCGAATTTGGGGTGGAGACAGACTTTTTGGCCATGTGGTATGCTTTCTGGGTCATTCACTCCTGAAATGTCCAGCTGTGACAGTTTCCTAAAAAGAGGGAAAGATGTGCAACAATGTAATTTCTGAAAATAAAAATAAGAAATTGTCCATTACAATTCCTTATAAAAGGCATTGTCTGGCAGCATATGCCAAAGCCAAAAGTATAAAATAACCCAGTTCTTCCTTTATTTGGCAACATAAAATTACTTTAATTCTAAGCCACACAGTGCTGTGTAAGGCTTGCATTTGTTTTGTGGCTCTTTTGCATGTCTACTGTTCCGGCATCAACTAAATTATTTTTAGGAAGTTGTTTCACATGCTTGGATCTTAGTGGTTTCTAGAAATTGGGAAGAAGGTCCATTTAAACTGCATTTCAGATTTAACATTCTCCAAATTGAAAAATAAGCCCACTTATTTACAAGATCATAATCAAGGTAGATGTGTAAAGGCATAATGGAAGCAATAGTGATGTGATGATTATTCCTATGCTAGAGTAGTGAGTACATAGATGTTCATTTCATTTTTTTCTCATTGTATATCTGTTTGATATTTCCCTACTAAAAAGTAAACTGCAAAATTCCACAGGAAAGCAAATGTTAACTTGTATATGATTCATGTGGTCAGAAATATGAAAATCTGAAAGGAGAGTTTACTTTTAAAGTTCTGGAATGATCAAAAAAGAATTTAATCTACTTTTAAAGAAAATAGAGCACAGATTGAAGAACAGACATTTACTGCAGCAGTCCTGAATCAACATCATGAATTTCTGAATTAGATCAATGGCCATAGGGAATGAAGTTAAAGGACTGAATGACATTAGAGATGAAGGAATGAACACGATTTTGCAACTGAATTAATATAAGATTAAATAATTACAGATAAATTCTGGATAAAAGTTTAATACAAGACAAGATGATATTGTGATTCCCAAAACAAAAATATTTCTGTTTCTTGTTGTATCTGTGATAAAATTCAATCTCTTCAGGTAGAAGAAAAGACTTTCCTTTATCTTCAGTGAAAGACATGTCTTCAAGAATAGAGATTGTATCATTCTTTTTAAATTTTATTATGTTTTTATTTATTATTTTGTATGTGTGTGCATATGTATCCATGTGCCAGAGCATGCATGTGGAGGACAGAGGATAACTTTCAGAAGTTAGTTTTCTGTTTCCACCCTATGAGTCCCATAGATCAAACTCAAGTTGTCAGGCTTGGCAGCAGGCTTCTTTTAACTGTTGATCCATCTCACCTACCCTAGAGATTGTATGTTTTATCTGCAACTCCTCAGAACTTAGTTTTGAGCATGACAAAGGGGAACATTCAAATGATTTTCAAAGGAATGAATGGAGGAGTGTGCTGGATAGCTTTAGTTTTCAACTTGACGCACCTGGGAAGAAGGAACCTCAGTTGAGGAATTTCCACAATTGAGGAATTTCCTCCATTAGATTGGCCTATGGCCATGACTGTGGGGAATTTTCTTGATTGATTGGTGATGTGAGAGGACCCAGCCTACTGGAGGTGGTGTCACCCCTAGGCAGATGGTCCTGTATTATATAAGAAAGCAGACTGGGCACATACCAGAGGAGTAAGCCAGTAAGCAATGTTCTTCCATGGTCTGTACTCCAGGTCTCTGCTGTGAGTTCCTGCCTTGGCTTCCCTTGATGATAGACTGTGCTGTGAGCTAAATAAACCCTTTTTCCCAAGTTGGTTTTGATCAGTGTTTTTTAAAACTTTTTTATATTTAATTTTATTTTTATTTTATGTATATGCAAGTATTGCCTGCATGTACGTAAGTGCGCCTGTGTTGTGCAATGCCCATGGATGTCAGAAGAAGCTATCGGATCCCCCAGGACTGAAGTTACAAACAGGTGTTAGCTGCCATGTGGGTGCTGGGATTCAAACCCTGGTCTTCTACAAGAACAACCAGTGTTCTTAACCACTTAGCCATCTCTCCAGCCTTGATCAGTGTTTTTATCACAGCAATAGAAAATGACTAATACAGAGGAGGAAATGGAAAAATGAAATGCGATAAAAGGAAAACGTTTTGCTAGGCAATAGTAATAAGCATATTACTTGATTTTGGTACCAGAAAATGATACTTATTAACATCTTCCTCATGTTTCTATGGAATAATCCACCAGCAGGAATTCTAGAAAGACTAGCTTAAGCTACCTATCTATACCCAAGCCCCCAAAACACTCATTCTTCCCCTACTCACGATTTCTTCAGACAGTTAGCTGTAGAAAGAATCAGCCATGGAGTCAGGACAATACCCTGGCAATACCCAGGCATAGACACTAGCCATGGTATGTCAATGAAGTTTTCCATTGATGGTAAGCCTATAATCAATGAGCTTGAACTCATTATCTGCTTCTGCATTTGAGGCACTGAAAAAGAGTATGATAGAAATAGGAAAGGATCAAAATAACATTAAAACACTTTCATTGCTGATAAACTTTCTAGGTTTAGAGTTAATTTATTCAGATTTATTTGATTCAGCTAGAAATTGTCTGTTACCTACTCAATATAGCCTAACTTCCTCCACATGTGTGATTACTTATGTGTGTGTGGATATGGTATAGTTCCAACATGACTACATTTAAAAGAAAAATAGAGTTTGTATGAGAGAAAATACAAAGAGATGCCCCATGTGATGCAGAGAAACTTTTTTAAAGGTGGAGTAGAAAGTAGACAGAAGGAAATGAAAAGAGGGGAAGTGGAAGTACCAACGTAGATTAAGAAAAAGAGGAAGCAGTAGTGGAGAAGGACTGAAATGGTTTCAAAAGAGAAAAGAAGTAAAATGAGAAGAATAGGAGAAGAATAGGGAGAAGAATAGGAAGAAGGTCTTTGGACATTCAAGGAAGAGAAAGACATAAGAATGTCCAAGTGTCTGTAACTTACTAGCACAGCAGTACCAAACCAAACACAAAACATGGTAACGCCAAATTAGAGCCTTCATTCTGACTCAACTGGCAGGATATGTGTTGTTGAAATCCTAGGGCAACAGCAGCTCTAGTAGTCTAGAGGTAGAGTTCAGAGGTTTTAGAATGTCTGACATCATAAAACCTATTGTGAGATTGTTTTATTCCTACTGCAGTCTCTTTAAAGCTACTTAAGATGGGGAATTAGGGACAGCAACATAGTTTAAAATCAAACATTATATTTTAAAGCCTAAGTTTTTAATACATTTTCAGTGGTCAAATAGCTGGTATTTGTCCCAGCCTACTGTGAGAAGCTCGGCCTTCCATTACATGAAATGAATGATTATTACATCATTGGTAGCCTTGTGTATGTCACTTTCAGTTACTTGTTCCGTAATTGAGTACTTTCTAAAAATGGTATTTCACATCTTTTTTTCAGATTTTTATGATGATTTAGATATTTTTACTTGATATCTAGGTGCATAACCTGCCATCTTAATTTTCCTGTATTAAAAAATATTAGAAAAAATTAGGGAACAGAAATTGGTAAAGGAAAATTATTTTATTTACAGTTTGGCCAAACCAAAGGGAGAAAGAAGTCTAATTTCTTCCCCACTATGCCTGTGGCTATTTTATCACTCATAGGAAGACATGAAATAAAGGCTAGAGTGAGTAACTTCTCTTTGCCCAGTCCTTTCCTTGGGGGAAGAGAATGTAAGCCCTAGTTTATCTCACTTTGCTATTACCAAGACATTTTTTTTTCTTCAAGTCCTGTTCAATGAAAAGATTCTCCATTTCGAAAAAGAAAAGTGTTCTGCTTGTGAGATGTAAAACTCTCACCTATTCCAGGCTGGGCAGATTTCTTTATCATTGTGTCCACTCCTTTGAGAAGTATGTGGAAGGAAAGACTTCTGTATCTTTTCTCTGGAGGTCAGCTTCAGCTGATCCAAATACTACATTCCTGTTAAATACACCAGTTTTGCAAGTTAAAAAAATATGACAGACTAAGAGCCAAAGGGAGAGGTATGAGTATCTCTCTATAGAAACTCTCTCCTCCCTATCAGTGTTTCAACATAGGATCAGAGTTGCAATCTTAAATTCACCTCCCATGTGAGCCCATGAAACCAAACAAATTATGTGCTTCTAAAATATAATGGTAGGACAGGCACTGGATAGATACCCAATTCCAAAAAGGAACAAGCAACAAAGGCATAACAGATCTGTGGTAAGTCCAATACCCAACAGGACAAACAACATTATATCTTCAGGCTTGAAGGCAATCTTTGATTCCATGTTCCTCCTTCTAGATACACTGGAAGTGGGATTGGGTTCCATAACTTCCAAGAGTCTATATACCACAGCTTTTCTTCGAGGAGCTCATACCACATATCTCACAGATTGGAGTGTTATGCCTGTAGCTCTCCCAGCACACTGGTAGCTCTGAAGTTCTGGGTTCATGAAGATATCCCTGTTTCCATGACTCCACTAGGCATTTCCCATATGTGATCTTTCTGTGATTGCCCTGACCCAGTATCTCCTCTAGGATTGTCCTTGTGCACATTCTCTGGTGCAGTCCCACTCCTATAAGCATTCTCTGCCACCTAAGCCTTGAAGCTCTCTGAGGCATTATTTGAAATCTATGTGGAGGTAACTCATTTCCCACAGTTCATGTGCTCTTTGTGCCTGCAGAGGTAGTACTAAGTGGATATTGTCGAAGTCTATAACTTGTGCCCTCTAAGGTTAAGCTGCTCTTGGCCTGTTTGAGCCGCAGATAGAGTAGCCAAAAAAACATTATTCAAGAATATGGTTAAGCAGAGACTTATGGTAACATTGGACAGTAAGACATCCTGTTCCCTTGAGTGTTCTGGGATCTTCCTTTGAAACCATTTTCCCCTCAAGTGCCTTGGTATGCTGGGCCTGTGGAAGGTATAGCACCCTCAAAGATTTCCCCGTGCTGTCCATTGTCATGATGAAAAGCTCTTGACTTCCCTCTATTCATTGTAATCTCCTTATCAAAAGATCCCTTGGCTGTATCCCTGGATTTCTTTCCTTAACACATTTTTTTAATTCTTTACATAGCCTGACTGAAATTTTCCGAATTTTACCAACCTGGTTCCATTTTTTATTATAAATTCCATCTAAGTAATTTATCTTTTTTCACACATATATAGTATAGGGACAATACTACATTCTATATCTGAAATACCCCCCAAAGGCTCATGTGTTCAAGGCTTTGGCCCCAGCCTTTGGCACTATTAGGAGATGATAGAGCATTTAAGAGGAGCAACCTAGAAGATGTGGACATTGTTGCAATAGTGGAAAGAGTGCTTATAGGGATAACCAACTGCTGTCTTGATTGGATTTGAGACCTGCTCCACAGGAAGGACTTCATGCCTGATACTATAAACCCAAAATCCATGGTTAGGAATGCCATAGGCCCTAAGGAAGAACCTATTGTTTTCTAAATGGTCATGTTGTCAAACTGCCTTCTAAATATGTGGATCCTGGGGAAAGAAAGAAATTAATTATAAAAAAAGAGGTGTAGCCTGGGCCAGGGATATGGCTCAGTTGTCACCTACATGATGACAATCCTCACGATCCACATGGGAAGAAAACTGCTTCCCAAGTTGTCCTCTGACCTCCACACATGTGCTGTGGCACATATGTACATGTGTGCACACATACACATGCACAAAAGCTTTAAAGAGCTGTGGTCTAATGGGAGGCCTTCTGGTAATGGGGTCATGACTTTGAAGGAGATAATTGGATGAGCTCTTCTCATTCCTTTCTTTCTTGTGTCCCAGCCATTAGGTGTGTAGTTTTCTACTGTGTCTATATAGAAAGGTGAATTATCATTTTTTAAAAAGGATGAAATTGAAGCATGAAAGAAATAATAAGAAGTCAATATTATTCCAAGGAGTACTGAAGCCTGAGTGATTTGATATTGAGATGCTGAGATTATTTTATTTTCTCAGTACAGGTAGAACTTTTGGTATCTATATTAAGAGCTTTTAAAAAGAAGTACAGTCTCACCAAGAAGAAGAATTAATGCAAGTAGGTGGTCTGGGTTGATGGAATTGAAAGTTTTATTTAGAGTTTTGTCGGGCATGTTGTGAGCACATGCCTATGACACCTGTCTTTGTCTTAGCATTGAATATGTTTGAGAAACAAAGATGTTCTTTTTGTTGTGTCTAACAGGAGTGTGAAATAGCATGATGAGTGGTGCCCGTAGGAACAGCCTTTTCCTTGAGACTCATGGCTGTAATACAAATGGGAGGCTTGGCTTAAGAAACTGACATCTGACAGACTGCACCCACATATGGCAAATGAAGAAACATCATTTTTGTTTGTATTTAACCATGAGAGTATTGGAAAAGGTGATAAATCCAGCAAGACAGGGGTTCCTCATTAGGAAACCAATGAGTTTTATTGGGCCTCTTTCTGGAGTGTGGGTTACTTACAGGAACATAAATGAATCAAAGACAGCTTCATCACCAAAAGTCAGCCCCATCATAAAAGCTGGAAACCTGGAAAGCTGGAGTGCACTGCACAACTTGCAGGTAGATCAACAGATTAAAGAGCATCTCTTTCAGGCAGTCCAAATGTTCTGAGCCTCTTCCTGGTAACTTGGTTTGTATGAGGGTGTCTCTCAGCAGTACTTACTGGTTTATACACTTGGGGAGGGAGGGAATAAGTATATCTGCTCAGTTTTAGGGACTTCCTGAAACCTTTGTTTACTTCCTGAACTTAAGGAGCTTCCCTGCAAGATGGAATGTTTTATCTCAGAAGAAATTCTGACACAAGTTGCCAGGGGTAATGGAGATAATATTTAATTTTAGGTACTTCATTTACTTCCTGATTGATATTGGAAATCAAAGCCAGGCCATTATCAGACTATAGGGACCAGGGATTCCAAAGTGAGGAATAATGTGTCCTATGAGGACACTGGTTACTTCTGAAGCCATGTTTATCTCATCTGGAATGCCTCTGTCCATTCGTTGAAGGCATCCACAAGAACTAGTAAATAATTAAGCCCCTTGCTTGGTATACATGAGTGAAATCTATTTACCAGTCTTCCCTGGGCATAGGCATGGTTCTACTATATTGGATGGATAGTAGAAGTGGAGGGGCTCTCAAGGTCCCCTCAAGATTGGATTGACAGCACCTTTTGGAAATGAACTGAAGGATGTGAAGAGTTCCTATTGATGCAGAGACAAATGGAGTATTTAAGAAAAAAATGTGTTTTTTAATCCTTGTCTCCTCTCTCTATCTCTATGGGTAGAGTCCAGATGACAAATTTATCATTAAGGTGCTGGAAAAGATAGATAGAACTGTGGTTTTACAAAGAATTATTATAAGACCTTTGGCATTTAGCTGAGAATGAGGACATCACACCACCAGCCCCAGACAGCTGTGCTAAGCACCTGCAAATTCCTGCCCTCCTTTGGAAACTTTTAAGCTATTTTGAGAAATGAAACTTACTTTATTGTGATGCTTTTGAATATGTATAATGCTTATGAATATGTAATCCTATAAAATATGTAAATTCCCTTTAATCAGGGTCCAGATTTTGAGGCTTGAGCCTGCTGGACCAGACTGCAGACTAGAAAAAATACCTGCTTCTTATACACTGCCGATGTCTTGCCTGATCTTTCCTGCAACATTTCTGGTGCATTGGGCCAGGAAGATGGAAGTAGATGTGGCTTTTTGTCTCCCTTGTCTCTGGGGTTTAGCCTCCTTAGGATGCTGGAGGATGACTTCCCCTTAATGGCTCCGCAGGTTTTTTGAGGCTTTAAGAGGAATGACTCACCAGATGCTTCAGAGATACTGTCCCTGAGCACAACAGAACTGGAGGGAGGCAGGAACTAGGAGCAGGGATTTGGAACACCATTCAAGGGAACAGGTAGGATCCAAGTCTACCACGAGACCCACCAAAATTGGTGGAAGAGGAGAATGATCATCTAATAAGGGTCCTGAAGTTTCTTCTGACATTTCCTGGTGGAAGTCAGAGCCTAAAAGGGCCTGGGGGGGGGCACCC